GCTAGTTTGCCACAGGCTCAAAGCCAACCAGGGCTAAGCCGGGCATGGACAGAAACCTCTGGAATCGAATGGCAAAATAAGCATTTCCTCTCTTTGAGATGTTTACCTCAGGAGTTCTGTCACAGTGATGGAAAGCTGACTAACAGAGTCACCCCTTATTTCAAGAGAGACTTCGGGGTTACCTACGTCAACACAACACAACATTCAAATTAGGAATCCCTAGTTTAAAGAGATAAAACTTTTTTCTTTACTCCAGGTATCTCGCTGATTGCCTCTTCCTCTGGGCAGATGAAAATCAGCACATGCCATCACCCACTACAAATCCTGGACTTGAGAGAAAACAGAACCCGTGAGGCCCCACCCCCTCACACATACCTCTGTTCTCCAGAAGTACTGGGTGGGGTCTTGCCTTTGATTGACAATGAAAGCATCTGGGATATAACTTCTCTGGGGAGCTTTGAGCAGAAAGAAGGTCAAAGTCCCTTCTGGGCTAAGCACTGTAGTGCAGCCATGAAGAAAATGCTTGGCAAGATTTCCCTGGAATTTCTGAGTCAATCTTAGTTCTTTCAGTTCTTGGTACAAGTCTTGGAATACTTCCAAAAGCCAGGAAGTGGATTTCTGGACTTGCAGAGAGAAAATTTAGGTGTGATTTAGATGGAGAAAGGTTATAGTTGCAAGACAACAGGCAAGAATGCAACAGGGATTTACTGAGCACCTGAGGGCATAGCAGTTGAGAAAATCCAGGTAAATGACTTGAGTTTTGCTAATCCCAAATCACTGGCTTGAATTCAGTTAAGAGTTTTAATTAGCTGGATAATGGTGGCACACACCTTTAATCCCAGCACTCTGGAGGTAGAGACAGGTGGATCTCTGTGAGTTCAAGGCCAACCTTGTCTATAGAGTGGGTTCCAGGACAGTAGGGTGGTTACACAGCAAAACCCTGTCTTTAAAAAAAATTAAAAAAGGGTTAATGAATTCACTACAGAAACCTGTTCAGATGCAGGGGTGGGTCTTTGTGCATAATTATTTAGGACAGTATATTCAGGTGGAATTAGAAAAGAGCACAAGCTTTGGGAACTAACAGAGTAAGAGGCCCCATGTCTAAAGCTTACCAAACTGACTTTGTAATACTCACAGATGGTTGCACAGGTGATAAATGCCACAGATCAACCATCCGAAGTGTCTGTATATAGAGAAATTGCGGAACAGCAGCAACTTTCTTACCAGATGATGAGAACATTTTAATTATGCAAGTGGAGCAAAATTAATTAGCCACTTAGGTTAACTTCTCAGTTGTACTTAAACGATAGCAAATCACTAAGTTGTTTGACTTCTAGAGCCCTTTGGATATATCCCTAAATATATCATGAGCCTAAAACAAGCCCAGGCAGGGCTCTCCCCAAGTATAGGGCCCGCCATAGCTGCTGCCAGGTATCCGGTGTAATTAAAATGATTTTGCATCTGTCTTGCTGCTGTCCAGCTTCTCGGAGTACTCCGGAACGGCGGCTTCATTCTCTTATGGGTTAAGTCTGCTTGTCGGATTCAGAAAGGCAAGAGTGACCACCGCTCTTCCAGAGGCCCAGAGGTCAGCTCCTAACACCCACATCAGACGACTCACAAGCACGTGGAACTTCGACTCCAGGTATCCATGCTGTCCTCCTTGGGCACTCACATGTGTGTGTCACACACTCACACAGACAGATGCACTTGCGCATAAATACAAACAAAGTCAATCTTTAAAAAGCTTTTAAAGCAGAAAGAGGACGTCGTAGCTAATGCAGATCTTTATCAGTAGGATTTCCTAGACGAAAACTTTGGTTTTTCTTGTGTCTGCTTGGTATCAAGTAATCCAGAAAAGAAAAAATGCATTATAGCACCTGCCGTAAGCCATATTCTTGGGGTGACTTCCATCATGGTCCAACCATGAAGGGTTCACAGGTTTCAGGGTAGGGGCATGTGGATTAGAAATGTTAGGTAAGAGGAACAGAGATATAAAAGAGATACAGAGACAGAAGATAGTACCAGAAGGGCAACGCCGTGAATACTGGATACTGAATTCTCCTGAGATTAATTTGCATATGCTTTTATATCCCAATACAAAAGGGGGGTAAGAGGGCAAAGAGTGCTGTAGCATGGCACAAATGACAACCAGGGCAGTTACTTGCTTCAATACTTGAGACATCAAGTCACTATTTCCTAAATAAAGCATCTGGTGTTTTGGGCAGGATATGCAGCGAACACCCCCTAGACCAAGGATCCTGTTGGCAACCTGTCTCTATATCAAAACTCCTATTCAGAAATGAAGGAGCAGGAATAAACTTGAGTTTTCTGATCTTTGGTCAGGTTGGAGTGGATCCATCTCTATGGGCCATCTTAATGTCCAAAACTCCAAGTAACACACCCGAGTTCAGGGTTTCTAGTTTGCAGCCACACCTGCTGTCAACAACTTTGAAAGAGCAAAAATAAGTTCACATTCTCAGGCCTCCAGTCAAGGTGGAGCAGGCTTGTATCTGTAGATGTCCACAATGACCGCATCTACATGTCTATACACTGAGAAAATTTCATTGTTTTTGAAATTATCTGTTATCACTAAAAATGTTCCATAGTACTGTTAATTTTCTATTATTTAAACATTAAAAATTTAAGATTTGCTTTTTACAATTATTACATCAAATTTTCAGTTGAATAAAACATTATTTGATTAGTGAACTAAGTAGATTATAATTATTTAGTGAAACAAACTTAGATATTTTAAAAACTAATTTTATTGAAGAGTCTCATATGTAGGTGTTTTGACCTGTTGATAATGTGGAATAGGATTATTTGTTTCTTTTTTTTTTTTTTCCTTTGGTTTTTGCTTTTTCGAGACAGGATTCTCTGTAAAACATCCTTGCTGTCCTGGAACTCACAAAGATCTGCCTGCCTCTGTTTCCCAAGTGCTGGGATTAAAGACATGTGCCACCGTCACACACAAGATACTTACTAAATGCTTCGGTTTGTCATTGTCTTGCTGTTGCCTCTGAGCCCACAGGCTGGCTTAGAGAGCTGCTATGACGGTGGCTCTTGGTGTGCCAGCAAATGAAGGAAAATCTGTGTGGGTTTTCTTTCACGGGATGTCAACCTGTGGAAATAAGAGGTCTGTGCTGGATTTGGTGTTTGAATAAAAATTATCTGACTACTTTAAAAGCTCTTTCGCCAGTCAAGGGTCACATGTTCCTTGGGTGTGGCCAATGTGAGGCCACTGTTTGTTTTAGTTCCCACAGACATTTTATGCACATTGAGTTTCTTCAGGAAACAAAGCAACCCAGCAATTAAGGAAGTAGCTTCAACGTCATTTTCCTAGGAAAGATGAGGAAGGAGGGAAGTCTGACTGAAAAGGAAAAGAATTCTAGGATATAAATCAAGAAAATTCTATATGCAAATTTATAGTTACATCCATTGAATAGCACCGGCAGTGCACATTCACATAAGAGCGTTCTGGAAATTCATAATCCGTCCCCAGTGACTGAAGGAGACAAGGTCATGTGAGGAGAAAGCAGCAGAGGACAGCCTGGGTGCTAGAGCCTGGAGCTGCAGTCATGGCTGAGCCACTCCACAGATGGCTGCTTCTCTTAAATAATAAAATATCATAAGAAAACAAAGGCTAACACACTCAAATTCGACAAAACAGACAGAAGGAACAGCACCAAAGAGAAGGTACACGAATCAGAGACACACTCATTTGCATACCCAGGAATTCATAAAAACACTAAATGAGAAGCCATAATATGCACACAAAGGACCTGTACCATAAGAAGATAGAAAAAAACAAAAATAAATAATAATAAGATAATTTTTTTTTAAAAAAAAAGGAAGAGCCCTGACATAACCTTTTGAAATAAGAAACCTGTCTTGAGTTTGTTTTTTGTTGGTCAGCTACTGCTGGGCATGCAGCCTACCCTTAAGAGTAGTTTGTTTCCCCAGAGACATTTCCTTGAAGAAAACAAATTTTAATTTGGTTGTAAGTGGTTGTCAATTGGGGATAGCATCTGGGATGGGGACACGTGTCCCCTTCTTCTTTCAACTCTAGGATCCCGGCTGGTACAGATCCATGCAGGCTCTGTGCATGCTTCCTCTGTCTCCCTGAGTTCATATGTTTACCAATCATGTTGATTTAGAGGGCCTTGCTTTCCTGGTATCCTCCATCTCCTCTGGTTCCTGTACTATTTCCGTCTCCTCTTTTCCAGGGCTCCCGGACCACTGAGGGAAGAGATTTGGGGGGGCGACATAACATTTAGGGCACAGTGATCCAAGATCTCTCACTCTCTCTTATCTGGTTGTGGGTCTCTGTATTTGTTCCCATCTGATGCAGGAGGAAGCTTCTCTGATGATGACTGAGCAAGGCACTGACCTATGAGTACAGCAGAATGTCATTAGGAGTCATTTTGTCATTACATCTATTTATTTACTTACTTACTTATTTATTTTAGAATAAGAGCATTTGTTTTTACCCTAGATCCTTGAGCTATCTCATCTCAGGTTCTTAATCACCCAGATATCAATGAGAATGGCTTTCCAAATTAGGTAGAAAGACAAGTGAGAAACAGCTAATAAAGTCTTTCCTAGCATAATGAAGACTCACCAACCAAGGTTCCTTTCTCTACTAAGAAGGGTATTTGTGCAGTAACACATTTACAATTGCATCAGTTAAAGAGTCCCCTCCTGATACTGTTTAGAGCCATTTCTTTGTGTAGTACATATATTACACATTGCACGGTATCTGAGGTTTTTGCTTGACTTTTATAGTGATTTGAAAGAAAATGTTCCCCATCAGCTCATAGAGAGTGGCACTATTAGGAAGTGTGGCCTTGCCTGGTTGGAGGAACTATGTTTCACTTTCTTTATGTTATCTGCTGATTAGGAAGTAAAACTGAAAAAAAAAAAAACTGTTGATACCACAGACTGAGATATTGCTGTGATAGACCTGACCATGCTTTTGTTTGAGAAACGTGGACTTTGGATTAGAAAAGCAGTTGAACACTTCAGTGGGGGCTGAATGGACTTTCCTAATAGGGACATGGAAGACAGGGGTGCTGAGGGGGACTTGAACTGTGGATTCCCAACTCAAGATGTTTCAGAGAAGAATTTTAGTATGTGACTGTGGTGGTTTGGAAAAACATAACCCTCAAAGGGAGTGACACTATCAGGAGGTGCCATTCCTTGTTGGAGGTCACTGTGGTCACTGTGTGGCGGGCTTTGAGGTCTCCTATCTCAGGCTTCACTCGGTGTGACAGGCAGTCAACTTCTTGTTACGTCTGAGTCAAGATGTAGGACTCTTAACTCCAGCACCGTGTCTGCCTGCACGCTTCTCTGCTCCTCATCCCCATGAAAATGGGCTGAATCTCAAAACTGTAAGTGAATCACCTCATTTAAATGTTTTTATTTATAGGAGTTGCTCTGATCATGGCGTCACAGCAATAAAAACTCTAAGATAGTGGCCTAGAGACTGCTCTTGGGATATTTTGGCACAAAATTTGACTTCTTTTTGCCCTTCTCTGAAAGTCAGTTTGAGGCTAAAGTGAAGAGTTTTGGATTAATTACACTGGCAGAGGAAATCTCAAAACAGCCTAGTATTGACTTTGTCATGTGGTTATTCGTGTTCACTCTTACACAGACCTATAAGGGAAAGGAACCAAATGAGGAAGAAAAGTTACAAAATGTACAATTTGAAGAGAAAGGGCTAGCGAAAGGAAGGGGAATGAAGCTAAATCCTGTGTTCAAAGACATAAGCAAATTAAAGAATATCCTGATGTTAAATGGAAAAAAGGGAGTGGCAAGGTTCCACCCGGCTAAACTTCTAATTTGTAAAAAGGAATTCAACAATGAAATCTAAATGAAATAACTGAAAAGATTAGTTGTCCTCAAATAGTTTAATTATTGCATCTTAAATCAAAGCCCAATGATGTTAACTGAAGCCAAACAGATAAAATGTTTGGCTTCCTATAAGGTGAAATTCATAATTTATATTATCTAGTCACAAATTATCACATAGGAAACATTAATTGTTGTATCCTGTCTTATCATATTTTTGTTCTAATTCCTTCAAAAAGTGAAGCATTGTACGTTGTGCTCAGATCTCATACCTATAAAACCATTCAATAAAGTTATATGAGGTACAAACATTTCTGGGACCTCATTGTTGATGAAGAATGTCAAAAGTGTGCAATGTTATGACTACATTGATCATACTTTTCCTCATAAGTCTGTAGTTATATTCTTTTTAGTATTTTTATTTCTACAGTAGACATTTATTTATAATTTTTTTTTAATTTCGCAATTCAGGTTTGGGGGTGGGGTGGGAGGACGGAGGCAAGTGCCCGCCTGAGAGTATGTGTGCAACATACATGTAGTACCCACAGAGTCCAGAAGAGGACGTCTGATTCCTGGAACTGGAATTACAGGTGTTACAGGCGGACAAAGCCACCCTATGTGTGTGCATTTGCAGCTAAGCCCAGCATTTGCTCTTAACCACTAAGCCATCTCTCTATTCCAGTTTTATTTCTTTTTATGTATTATCTATAATATTAAATAAAAGGGAAAATATCTATATACTTGGAGAGAAACCACATTAAACATATTTTATTTGTAATATTTGGGATGACAGGATGACTAAGAAAGTGAAGAAATTCAGTCAGCAGTGACTCATTCCCATCTTCTTACCCCTCCAAACATCATAGCTAAAAGAACAGAAAAATGTATCAAGTATGGTAACCATACCGTAGAGATTTTATAAATAACAAATACAATATGAAACATTTTACCAAGTTTGTAAAATAATGGGAAGCATTTGAATAAACTATTGCTCTGACCCTGTCGTAGTGTTAGGAAATGAGACTTGCTCTGTGTCACTCATTACGCTCAATACATGGCTTTCATTGATAAATTCATCATGGCTTTGTGAACATCTTGAGGGAACAACCAAGAGCAGGATTTCCTTTCCCATGTTGGTTCACTATCAATCTTTACGTGTAATCAGCAATCCAATTTCCTGGAGAAACAAGCTCTCTGTAGTGCCCCCCTCAACCCAAATGGTCTCGTTGAGTGAAATTTTGTAGCAGACATCTGTGTCTTTTGCAGGTTGGCTTCTGGAGGAGCCCCACGCAGATCTCCTGCCCTGCCCTTGCTCTGTGTAATTTGCATTGAACCGTCTTCTTTAGCGGGCATGTAGCTTGTTCGTGATGGAAGTAAATTATTATGTGTGCCTGGCCTAGGGGGTGTTCGGAGGTGGATACATGGATCAGTTGGAACCAACTAGACAGTAAAGCTCTCCCTGGTGTTTTTTAATTGCACAAGGCCATATATTTCCTTTTTACCTCAAGCCAATTTCAGTTGAATTTCCATCACACACAATTTTAAATGTCCCAATAAAATACCTATTACCTAATAAAAGCATCAAGTTCCATTGTGTTCTGAAGTATATAAGTCTTAGAGGATATCAGGTCCATTTTCTAACTACTTCAGGCTGTTTTCCATACAGCTCAACGACTAATCAGAAAGCGGCATATCCAATGGTTCACAAGAGGGCTTACATTTCAGAGTCATTGATAAATTATTTCATGTTTAAGGGTTACAGTTACAGTTTATGGTCGACTGCTCCTTCCCTTGCTTTTGTTTCTATCCATAATATATAGTAAAGTTACTAAAGATAATACAACACATTTTAAATAGTACCAAGTGACAGTTAACTCAAAAATTTAAAATTAGGAGACCATGTAGAGAAAGAGAGGTGATCATTCAGGAAATGCAACGTTGGGGCTACCACTGGGAAGCCATCAGAAGCCTACATGAACTTTCTGGAAACCAAGACCGAAAGGAAGTCTAAAGGATTTTAAGAGGTTCCATCTTTAATAAAAGTAACATTTGCTTGCTAATCCAAGAGAGAAATAAAAAAAAAAATACTTACTTTAGAGGAATTTCCTCACACTGAGCGTCATGAGTTTGGGATTTTGGGGAGTCCCCTGGTATCGTTTGTTTCGCCTTTGACTCGCTCACTCATCGTACAGCTTAGTAGCGACTGGAATAAAATGCTGTGATGACATTTTCGTGGCTTACTCAAAGTCTAATGACTACAGAAGAGACAGAAGCCAGCTGTCTTAACCTCTAGCCAAGGCTGAAGCCATGTATCTTAGAAGACAATTGAAACCACGTGCATGGGCTCTGACCCCCTGCTTTTCAGGTCAAGGAGGTAAAGTGCAAATTCGGGATGCTTCGGAAAGCTTTTTAAAATGACTCTCTGGGTGGTAAAAGCTTGGTCAAAATGACTTCTTCATGTTCCCTGGAAACTCAAACCCAGGGTTCTTGTGCACAGAGTCTGGACAAGTGTGGCTCAACTTGACTCTTTTACATCAAAGCTTCCACTGCACTCTAAAAGATAAAGGAAAACACTACAGCCTCAAAACTAACAGAACACTGGCTCCATGTAATTCTTCCAGGATACAGTCAGCAGTCATTAGAGTTACTGCTAGGTAGGACCCCTCTTCTTCGGCTGCCTGGAACTCCGGTGCTGTGCTGTCTGCTGACATCCCTCTTTGTCTCAGTTTCCCATCCTTTCTCCAGTCACAAGTCTTTTGTCTTTATGCTAAGGGCATCAGCAAACAATTTATGTGACTCAATTTGTCTTTTTCCCGTTCTTCAAGAAATCTGGGTCCTCTGTGAAAACCCACCCTCATTAGATTTCCCCTGAGTGGTGAAGGCTTGGCTCACTGATCCACTTATTGATAATTTACATATGCCCCCAAGGCCTAAATCTTTTGGGTTGTTTAATCATAATTTCACCAAACTGTCCTTTAATATTGAGCATCATATAAGTCTTCAGGCATAAAAATGCAGGTAGAAAAAAAGAACAGAAGGCAATTTGAATGAGAAGAAATTCCGTTGTCCACAAAGAGATCTATGGTTTTTCTGGAAAGTTCCACTGTGCCGTGTGGACCACTGCCTCCTTGCCTATTCTGCTTCTCAACTCAGCACAAGGCTCACACCAGAGCTCTTCTACAGTGGATGCATCTCCCTTGGAAGTTCGCAGTTTCCACTGCTGCACAGCCTGTCCGTGTTTGTATTCCACTCTCGTATCCTTTTTCACGACTGGAGAAGTGTAGCGCAGTGAGTACAGATGACAGACCCTGAGCTACGAGAGATGTGACTAGCAAGAAACTTCTCACATTTCACACTTGGGGATACTTTTGCTTATGGACGTTTTGATTGCTCCTACCTTGGAATTCTAAGCTGAAGTTTCAGCCTTTGTCATCTTTGCGCTCTTTTCTAATTCTAAAATTGGTGATAAACACACATCCTGGGAAAGTCTCTTATCCAAAGACCACAGGTTAGAGCAGCCCTCACAGTCCTCACGACAGCATGCTTCACTAATCACAAAGATGCTGCAGCATCTTCCTCCACATGAGGAGTTAACAGCATCGCTGGGTTGGAAGGCACAGAAGAGAGGAGCTGTCTGGGAAGAACACTACTTTTCCTTAGATTATACATTTATTTGTGAAATAGAAGGGAATACAGATGATTAGAATTCAAATAAATGTTCACTGTTCCTGTCAAGTAGCTCCCTGGCCCCATGTATAACCTGACTACAAATACACTTGCTCAAAGGAACACAGCTAGACCTAACTCATAGAAATATGCTATAAAGCTGTGTAGTTTTTGCTTGTTTGTTTTGTTTTTTGAGACAGGGTTTCTCTTTGTAGTCTTGGCTGTCCTGGAGGTTGCTCTGTAGACCAGGCTGTGCTCAACCTCAGAAATCTGCCAGACTCTGCCTCTTGAGTGTTGGTATTAAAGGCATGTACCACCACTAGCTGGGCAGCAGGTTTTTGTTTTGTTTTATGATTTGTCACCTGCCTCCCCTTACTGATTCCTGAGTGTGGTAGGGAGAAGAATTTTGCTCCCATTAAAGTGAGTATATTACTCTCACTTCTTGGAACCCACTGTGGGTGCTGACTTAGCAACAGGACTTAGCAATAGTTGTATGCTGTCTGGTACAAATCCCCAAAGCTCAACACTGTTTGACGAGAAACAATATTTTTCACCTACCCACCCTTCAGTTCTTGTCTTCTTTCAGATAGAAACTGTGTGCAGCTGAGCACCTATTACCACGTATTCTCAGCACTTTAGGCAATTTATGTCCACTGCACATAAGAACTCAAGCTGTGAAGGTTATTTGCACAAGCCTGTGTAACATGAGGGCTGACTTGTTGGGGTATCTGTCCCGCCCAGTACCCCACAGCTGGCAAGTCCCAGAGAAAATCACAGAGTCTACATTAGGTTATAAACTGATTGGCCCCATTAGCTCAGGCTTCTTGTTAACTCTTATAGCTTATATTAACCCATTATTCTGATCTATGTTAGCCATATTGCTTGGTACTTTTTTCAACCGTCAGCTCACATGTTGCTTCTTCGGTGGTCTGGACAGGAATGGCGGAGGGAGCTTCCTGCTTCCCAGAATATTCCTGTTCTCATCGCCCCACCTCTATTTCCTGTCTGGTTGACCCACCTATACTTCCTGGCTGGCCAATCAGCGTTTTATTAAAATACATGATTGATAGAATACAGATAATTCTCCCGCACCAAGCCTGCATAAGATTAAGCTAGTCAAAATTTAATGTGGATTGGAGTGCAATCTCTGAGGCTCACTTCTGCCTGAGGAGCTATTGAACTGGACTCAGTTGATGAAAAAAATAGACCATGAAGTTAGGAGGAAAGAGAGAAGACCCAGGGGAGTTGGGAGAGACTAGAAAGTAGATAAGATCAGAATATATTGATGAAAATTTCAAAGTACAAATTAAAATATTTTTGCTTTTATTTTTTAACTTTTAAAAAATTTATTCTTGTCTTTCACATCATACATCTCCATCCCATTCATTTCCCCATCCCATCATATGCCCACTCTGTACTTGTAACCTGCCCACCAAAATAAAATTTAAGAGAAAAGAAATGGAATCTTATGATGGAAGCTGTGGTGTGACATGGTGAGTCACACAGTAAACCCTTTTGTCCACATATCTTTACTTGCAAGTGTTCATTGCAGAGAGTCACTGGTTTGGTTTCAGACCTCTGGTTTCTGCTACACCATCGATGATGCTGAGCCCTCACTGAACTCCTCTTGAATATTCTGTTGTTGTTCTGTGTTGTTGAAATCCTGAGGCTTTCACTCTGCAGGACTGGCCCCTTCATGTGCTCCAGCAGATCATAGATAAAATATATTTTGGGACGGACCAACTCATAACCCTGGTTCTGGGCCTGGGTAGTTGCGGGGTTGGTCAGCCCACCAACTCTCCCCCATCTTTGCCACCAGGGTGAGCACTTCAGCATTGCCTGGCCAGTTCCCCCTTGCAGGGATGAGCAGTTGGTGAGGCCAATTCTCCTGTTTTCATGACCTCAGGGTCAGCTCTCCCACACCTACACCTTTGGGGCCAGGTCTACTGTGATGCCCAGCTGAGGTGTAGGGGCCACTCTCCCTAGTGCTGTGACTGGTGAGGGGCAGGGACACCTCTACTACTCTTATAACCTCAGGGTCATCTCCCACCTGCCACAGGTGGGGAGAGGCAGTGGGAGAGGGCATCTCTCCCCCACCCCCACTACCGTATGGCAGAGGAAGGATGTAGTCAGGTCTTCCATGCTCATGTTCTTGGGTCAGTTCACCGCACCCACCAATAGGGTCAGTTCTATTGGACTGTCCATGTGAGGTGCAGGGTCCACTTTCCCAGGTACTGCAGCTCACAAGGGTGGGTGTCGGCTTCCTTGCCCACCACAGGTGACAGGGTCAAGGGGGGAAACCTCTTTCCTTCTCCCTTACTACCACATGGTAGATGTGGAGATGTGCCCAGCTATCCTGCTCTCACACCCTCCACTTTGCTGCCCAGGCAAGGAGCAGGGCTAACTTTCCTGGGTGCTGCAGCTGGTAAGTGGGAGGGTCAATTTCCTCGTCCATCACAGACAGTGAGGGGTGAGGGGTATTGGGGGGCATCCTTCGACCTGCTGACACTGCTGCATGACAGATAAGGAATAGGGAAGCTCTCTCATGCTCACAACTTTGGAGCTGGCTCACCCACATTTCCCCCATAGAGTTGGCTTTATTATGCTACCCAGGTGAGGTGCTGGGCCAGCTCTCCCACGAACTGTAGCTGGCGTGGGGCAGGGACATCTCTCCTGCTCTTTGACTGTACGGGAATGCGGTATAGTAGTGTTGCAGGGATATCCTGACTTATCTGAAAGCCAGAATATACTTAAATCAATGATATCTTCGGATTCAAACCCAGTTTCTTTTTGCTTTTATTTTATTTTATTTTAAACTTGGATTATTATTAATTACATTTATCGGCATCATTAAGGTATCAATATAAAATAACAGATGTGATAAACTGACATTGTTAGGAAGGTTGATATGCAGCTTTGGAAGCT